GAGAGAGAGAGAGAGAGAGAGAGAGAGAGAGAGAGAGAGAGAGAGAGCAAAAAACATGACCAAGAGATTACGCTTTGAGATCAGTTAAAATTGCAATGAAATAACTTGGCGTAATAAATTGTTTGCATTCTGCGACTTCTATCGACGATGTAATTTTTATCATATTTCTGGTGCAATAAATCTACAACATTGGATTCGAACATTTTGCAATTTTCAAACTTGTTTTTATTCCATTTACAATGGACCAATTCAAATGGTGGAATGAACTAAATTGAACATACTTTGAACAATGATTGATTGTAATATATAAATTTGAAAATAATTTAACAAGCAATTTAATGGTTTATCAATTTGAATTTGATTCAAATACTGGTTTCGGTCATGATTCACCTGAAATTTTTACCATGTAGCAGCAGAAAGACAGTCGAAAACACGAAAAAATGTTATCGAGCTGTTTGTAAAGTTAGTATTCCATGAAATAATTGCATTTCATAAGAAATGCTTCGGTTTTGACCTTGGCCGCAACATAATCACTGGAATTGTTATGAACGAAAGCAACTGGAAATCTTCACCATTAATTCAGTAAATGAAAACAGAATTGTGGATCTATTGAAAATTAGCCCGAAACTCACTTGGAAAATTTGCACCAATTGGGCCAATAGCGAGAGTGTGAAATTTAAAAAGAATGACGGCGGAACAATAAACATCATAATTACTCCATTTATGACCACTCATTAATATAAAATGCTTAAAAATGAGCCGCTTTGAGCATTTTAACTGTAATTCCAATATATAAATACAAATTATATTTACCACCGACCATTTCGTTGTATATGTATATATCTGAACACAAACCGCTCTTGTTAATTTCACGTTTGTACGTCATTTTATGTTTGTGAAATTCTATGGAAATATTATAAGTGTTTTAATTATTGACCTTGGGAACGGCGTTGATTGTTTGAAGAATCTTTTTGTGGTTTGATCGTGCAAATTCGTTGGTATGATTAGCTTTTTTTTATATAAATAAACAATGGTTCAATTTTTCGACGAAAAAAAAGTCAGACAGAGACAAGTTTTTTTTTCACCCGAATGAAATCCTTTCATTCGATAACATTTGTTTTCGTTTAGAGTTGTAAAAAGGTTTGTTTAATGAAGTGTTGATTGTGCGAACAAAATGTTAGATTCAATTTGAAGATTTTTATATCCACTCTTTTCCGCTGTAAAAAAGAGAATGAAGCTTATTGTTGAATTACACTGATTTAAATCGGAACACACCCATTGAGCAAACAGATAATTGACGATGCAAACAACGTCAAAGTGAAGTGATTTGTGTTCATGTGTGTTGCCATCACAATGTTAAAATTCAATTAAAAATCTCAGCAGAGATGATTTAACGCACGCGTGGGAAATAAAAAAAAAATACGCCATCAAACTAGATCAACGTTGAACACTTTTTGGTTGAATCACACGGAAAAACTTAATAACAAATAAAATGTGTTGTTCATAAAATTATATAGGAAAGGTATTTGACTTACTCTGATGAAGGCAAAGTTTGAATCTTGCGTTGCTGTTTCCATCGTCTCGCCTTTTATCACGTTCAATCTTATTTCCTTAGCACTGTTCTTTCGATTTTAAAATGTATATGACCATCCAGACGATATTTGTCATGTGATTAAAACAAATTGTATATGCACATGATTCTGTTCCGTTCACTGGTTATAAATAACAAAATAAACAAATTAGATAAATTATCAAAGATTATACACATTATTTAGCAAAAATTGTACTTATTATTATTTGTATTTGCGGTGAAGCGTTTAAAATGCGATCACTTCTTACGACACAGAACAGAAAATCACACGAAATGCAATCGAGGTAGAGAGAGGTAGATAGAGAGACAAAAGAACGACGTCAACGAAAGAAAAAGGTGATGCACTCATCACATTACAATGCACAACGACACATGAATCATAGTGATCATGATTGTTACATGAGTAATCCATAATCCTATTTATTTCATGCTTAATAGTTAAGTACAAATACAAAACAGGCAATTATTATGCACATTTTGATTTTTAAAAGAAGCAGCAGGAAGAGAGAGATAGAGAAATATGGTAAAGAAAACCACACACAAACAAATCATGCAATTTTGAATCGTCTTTTGTCGTGATACACGACGATGATTGCGCGCATTTCGGCATAAAGTTAAGAATATTCAACGGTCGTGCGTGTTCGGGTCTTGTCTTGGTTGATGAACTCCGTTGCTTTTGTTTTGCGCGTTTGATTTAACGACAACGATTTGGCTTGAATAAAAGTGTTTTAATACGATTTATGGGGCGAAACGCCAAAACTAGCGAACGCACATGCACACACACGCACACATATGCCAAACATATTATGTGTGTTTGATGCAGACAATGGCAGAAAAACAAGTAACAGCTATTTTGTTTTCTTCGTGTGTTTTGTCTTGGTCTGGTGTGTCAGACATTTTATCGTATGTGATTCAATACAACGACACACAATACAAGTTCTGCGAGCGTTTTGTGCTTCGCCTTCATTTCCTTCGTGTTATGAAATGTGCATTCTGTGTATTCGATCAATGTTCTACCTGTGTGTGCGGATGTGCGCAAGCACAAACGATGCGCGCACATTCAAGCTCTCTCTCTCTCTCTCTCTCTCTCTCTCTCTCTCTCTGCATTTAACATCATCTATTCTATATCGATAAATGTTTTGTTGCAACAAATACAGAATTGTGTAATGCATTGGCCTGAGATTGGTTCAGTAGGTATCAATTCACGTTCTTTGCAAGGCAAACATCTATTTAACATTCGACAGAACGAGAAAGAATCGACTATGTAGTGACTGTAAGTGTAAGTACAGTCATTTCCATAAAGTATTCTTATGGAGTTGCGCGGTGTAAATGCGTTCGCTTCGTTGATGAGACATCAAGCTGCAACGCTTTTCTACATGGAAACATTGATTGTTTCGCAATCGGCGTAACACGTTCAATTATCTTCATGTGTAACAGAAAATGAGCACACATGGCCTAAGATCAATTGCTTCAAACCATTCCAATTATTATACGATTGACTCAATTTAATTGCAAACAAAAGAATTTAATCAGCTTCTCTCTCTCTCTCTCTCTCTCTCTCTCTCTCTCTCTCTCTCTCTCTCTCTCTCTCTCTCTCT